CCTTCAGTGAGGGGTTATGTAGACATGTATTGCATGGCACTCTTTAAGAGATCAGAAATTGGGACTTCCTTTCCTTTCAGCTGGCCTCCTGCAACTTTCCTTGGAACAAAATCCTTTTTCTTAGGATTTCCCTGCCTCCAGAATAGGTATTTAGGATCTATCAAGGAAGTTAAAAAAGAGACAGAATCATGCATTGTGGAAGAAGCCGCGAGATCAAGCACACAAGTATGTGAGGGTTTGGCCTTTGGCTCCAAGTTCAATTCAAGGAAATCAGGAGATCCGTGTTGTTTCAAAACAGGTGTGGGATTTATTATGGGAATAAACAAGTGTCTGGAACATCATTACTAGTCTTTTCTCCTTCTGCCAACGGGTCCGGAAGGGGCTTCCATTTGTTGAACAGGAATGGGTTTTTATAGGAGACGTCACTTCCGCTCGGGGGGATGACCAGCTAGGAGCGAAGGAATGGGTTTTTATAACTATAGTCCCATGGTCCCAGAAGATCAAAAGGGACCCAGTCCTTTACGGTCTGCCTCGCTGAGCCTTCTTCCAGTAGGGGCACGGTCTCCTCGCCCAGATCATCATCCCACAGGAATCATCCGTCTGTGTCTCGGTTCTCCCAGGGTCCTCCCTGTAGCTCCTTCTCTTCATCTCTCTTACCCTCCATTTCAATCTTTCTCTCCTTTCTCTCTCAGTCTCCTTCTCCACTCCCTTGCCTCTGTTTCCCGCCAATAAGAGGGTCTAGGGGGAATCTCTGCTCTTTTACTGTAATCTGCCTCCTCCTTTGGCACTCTCAATCTCTCCCATAATCCAGTCCAAGGATCCTGCATCCACCTTCAAACTCCACCCTCCATTTTCTCAATCTTCCCGCCTTTTCTCCTTGAACCTCCCCTATCATCACTTTCTGTATATCTTCTGTCAACTCCTCTATTACTGTCTCCCATGGAGGTTCCACTGCAGGTTCTGGTACGGGTCTGGGGTCCACTTCCTTAGTTCTGTTGTTGAGGAGGGACGGCTCTCCAGCGAGTGGGGTATCCCTCTCGCCCTCTGTTTCACAGCATACCACTAAATATACTGCCCATGTCTGGCTTAAATGCAGAATTCGAGAGCAAGAGCTGCTTGACAATGGAATCCACTATCTCAGAAGATGGTGGACTGTCCTTCTGTGGTGGATTATAAACAAAGGTCAGTCAGGGATCTTCCAGCTTTGGATGCTTCAGCTCTAGATTTCCTGCTTTGGGAGGAGGTTGGGCTCAGAGACCCTTGAAGGGTCCTTTGGAGGTACTCTGTATAGAATTAAAGGGTGTTGCAAAAAGTTTTGAATTTTTGTGTGCAGCAGAAATGCAGGCTCCCACAGGACAGAATAGCTTCAAGTCCCCTAATTTAATCCACCCATTGTTGTTTTTTTAAGCTGGCACTTACAGTCTCAATAATTCACTCTGAGACATCAGTAGGAGAAAGAATAAAAGGTTTCATTACTTGTAAATCAAACAGAAAACTGAAAACATGACTGCCTTTAGCAGTAGACTTCAACAGATTCACAGACTTCTAACAAACTTAGAGAGAAGCACTAAGCAGAGAGGCAGAGTTTTCTTTGAATTCAGAGGCAAGAAAGGAATGCTTGGTTAGTGCAGATAGATAGTCATCCCAGCCCAGAAAGGTCCTTTCCAGCCAAACCTACTAAAAGCAGGATGCAAGGTTGGTAATAACTCCAACAAAGGGCAGTGAGATTATGATGCACAGGAAACACTGCAGCAGGAAATTAATTTTACAATGCAATCTCTGAGGTAGGCCTTTCTCCATATGAGAGAAAGGCCCACCATCTTCAGCCCACCAGTTTTCAGGTGGGCTGGAACTCCCAAAATTCTGCCTTAGAAATTCTTGGAGAATTCTGAGCTTTGGAGTCCAAAATTCCAAATGGTACCATATTCATAACTATAATGTTCATACTAGGCACAATGCATAGCTTTGTGAACCCACTGACCCTCTGTGAATTTGGCCAGTCCTTTTTCAAAAAACCATCCTTATCAGCATACTCACTCTTTTGCAGCAGGAAATTCCATAGTTTGATTGTGTCCAGTGTGAAGAAATAAATTGAAATAAATATCTGCATTAGCAGTGCCTTCTCCAAGGCACTGAAAGAATATGAGGGAAATTAAGTAGTATCTTGTTGATACAAAGAACGACTATCTTCAGTGTTTTCTGTGTTTTATTTTTCATTGCATCAGGTCAGACATCAAAATATAACAACATTTGGCTACTGTCGTCAGCCTGACTGATTAAAACTTGGCACCAGTGATTAACATTGGCCCCTCACTGGTTAATCAGTCAGGCTACAGTTGACTAATCTGCCACCAAAATCATTAGAATATGCATCCCCAATGAATGGTGTAACAATGACATAAAAATACCGCCTGTAACCGAAGAATAGTTTCAGGATTAGAGGCTCTTGTTGCTGAAGCTGACCAGATTGCTCACAAGAAGGGAATTGTAAGTGGCAAAACTTAATTGGAACGAACTCCTCCAGTATTGCCATTCTCTCTGCGTGTATTCCTTAAAAGATGGCTTGTTCTGCGGAGCAAACAGAAATGCCATACGGTGTGCCTGATGAAATCTGGCAGCATTACAATAATCAGAAGAGCTGAGTAGCAAACGCTAGAGAAAATGGCTTGAAAAGTGAGCTAAATGCAGTGGCAAATTAATTAATGTTAACAACCCATCTTCTTGTCACCGGAATTTCTGACTGCGTGTTGAGTTTTTGCTGGAAATAATGTGCGCGAACAGCTTGTGCCATAATGTTAACCTGATCCTCAAGCAAATTCCTTTGTGCTCTCAGGTAGTACCATTTGCCGTTATCTCTTGGGTCTACAGTTCCTGACACAGACCTCTCACTTTATAAATTGTGGCACAGAAGTTTGGCCAGGGTGAAATATTAATAAAAGATAGCTTTTATTACCCGTCAGAAGCTTTAGAGATCTAATTGGTTTGTGTTCAAGTGGCACCATCAATGCTGTATGTATATAGTATCATTTCCCTTTGAGAAACAAAGCTCAGCTGCACATAGAAAAGAAAAGAAGGCCTAGAAAGTAGACTAAAAACAGATAAACAGATGTCTCTCTTCTACCTTGTTGGGCAGCTCACTGTAATGGCAGATAGGATTGCCCTGTTAGGTGGGGATAAGTATAATCATAGGCAAGAATAAGAGAGAATTCCTAAGTGCCATTGATGGAATTTAAGAACACACAAATTGCCCCAAACTTGGCTACTTTCTGCTTTATTCAAGAACTTGAAGTTCTAGACTTCTGGATTTTTCTTAGGAATCAACCATTTCTTCCATGCTTGGGGTATGTGGGTGTATGTGTGTACATGCACACACACTTTGCTTCTCAAAGAGAAAATACAACAGAGATATTTTACAATGGAGACCTTGAGGAGGGGGAAAAGACCTCTGTCATGTTTACAACTAAATGTAAGGAATCTCACGGGACTTTAGAATCCCTCCTCCCCTCCTGCTATCTCATCATGTTAAGACAGTCTAAATCAATGAGAATGATTTAATGAGTATTCTTCACATTGCAGCTATTATATGGCAGTGGTAAAATTCAGCACCAACTCCCTTTTAGTGTTTAGAAATGGTGTGGCGATTTCATACTATTTTATATCTGTGAAGGACTGCACAAGTTTGAATCACATCTTTGAATGACTTGTTTTAGCAGTGAGATGTAATGATTCCTATTAGTCACCTGACAAGCTCCTTCCTCACTCTGAGTGTAGGATCCTCATATTTATATAATAGAATCAAATGAGTGTTGGAAGATTGTGTTTTTTTAAAATAAACATTTCTGAACTCGCACACATTTCTGAACTCGCACACATTGTAAACTTGTTAAATATCCTGCTGAAGTGTGATTTGTGAAAATCAAAAGAGGGGTTTGATAAATTAGGACCAAAGAATAAGGGGTTTGGTTAAATGGAAATACACAGGCAGTCATTTTGAGCTGAACAGGACCTTGAATCTTAAATGAAGATCTCTGCCACCTGCCAACCAGTTGTACTTTATTTCTCCCCAGGTCATTTGTCTTTATTGTTCATCTATCGGCTTGTATTCAACTCTTCCACCAACTGCTCTCAGAACAGCTCACAGTACATGAAACAATAAATATAGACATTGAGAACAATGGAAACAATGACAAACAACCATGTCAATAGACAAATAAATAATATAATATCAGACAATACAATATTGAATAAAGTGCACATAAATTAACTGAATCCAATTGCTAAGTCTCCATGCAAGAGAGTAAAACCTGACACAGATATAAAGATTCAGTCTGTACACAGGACTCAGACAAATTCCAAATTCCGAAATAAATTGGCCTGGTTTGTATGCAGTTCAGATTGAAGTGGCATGGTCAGATTTGGTTCTGGAGTTGAGTGAAATGTATTTGCAAACTAGTGTGGATCCAGGGCCTAAATCCAGTTCAGTGAGGCATGAATTCCTTGAGTCGACAAGTATCATGGTTTCCTTTTTGAAAAAGAAAGCAAACTTTAAAGGAGACTAATACACACACCCCTGTAGCAAGTTGTCTGAAATTTGGAAAGCTTGCCCCACTTACTGTTTATCATGTCTCCAAAATGTCATAAAGCATCAGGGCAAAACCAAAAAAGTGACGATTGTTTTGGATTTTCAGTGCATTGACTTTACAGAGTAATTTGGATATGGCACAAATTGAATCAGATGTGGCACAAATGACTCCAGGCTGAAATGAGATATATTCCAAAGCCCTGGATTTACTCTCCAGACCAAACCAGGGGACTTGTGCGCAGCCCTAATAAAGACATACTAGAGGCAAGATCAACAATCATTGGTCTCAGCTTTCACATTTAAGCTTTGCAGGATAAAGGTGTTTAGCATGTATCTGCTTTAAATTTCAGATCACCTTCGCATAGTTGCATATGTGGCTACTGATAATTAAGCCTGGGTACAATTTTGTGTGTTTCAGAGACACAACCTCAGCTGTGTTGGGCAAGAGAAATGCATGGCTTCCAACGTCAGTTCTGTACAAACGCAAGGCGATTCTGATTATTTCATCAACCATCTTGGGGTCCCGGCTGTGCAATTTTCATACCAAGATTTGACAGCATTAGAGGTAATTGCAAATGAAAACACCTGATCAGATTGGTTAATCAGGAAGCCAAATCAGCTTTCACTCAGCAAAATCTCCCACATCAAGTAGATGGCTGTCAAAAGCTGATGGTTCATTTGTTAGTTTCTTTTGAATGATACAGGCATTTCTGCTGAATATTGGGTCTCATCAGCTCCTTGAAGTACGTGTCATGTTCTGCTGAAAAGGGAAATGTATGCTGTCTCCTGCCTTTTCATCCAGACAATCATAACAAGGAAATTGCAGTAGCAGGATTAACATCAAACATAATTGCAATATTCACAGCAACATGGGATGTGGAAAGTGGATTTTTGCTGAGGAATGGTTTCTCTGTTGTCTCTGAAATTAAATGAAAAGGGATTACACATATACAAAGGGATCCCTGCTGAGAGAAACATTAGGCAGGAGGAGGGGGGGGACAGTATATTGAAGTGTATTTCTGGCTTCTTCTTTTAAATGTATTAACATGGCTCTTAAGGGATGTGGTGGCGCTGTGGGTTAGACCGGAGAAGCCTCTGTGCTGCAGGGTCAGAAGACCAGCAGTCGTAAGATCGAATCTATGTGTTGCAGTGAGCTCCCGTCGCCTGTCCCAGCTCCTGCAAACCTAGCAGTTCAAAAGCATGCAAATGCGAGTAGATAGGTACCACTATGGTGGGAAGGTAATGGTGTTCCCTGTCTAGTCGCACTGGCCACGTTGACTACAGAAACAGTCTTTGGACAAACGCTGGCTCTATGGCTTGGAAACGGGGATGAGCACTGCCCCTAGAGTCGGACACGACTAGATTAAATGTCAAGGGGAACCTTTACCTTTAACATGGCTCTTCCCAGCTGGGCATCTTCCAAGGGTATTGGACACCTAATCCTATCACAACTAGAGGACATGGCCACTGGGCACTGTAGGAGTTGTTGTGCATAACATCTGGGAGGAACCTGGTTGGCAAATGGTATGCTAACTTTCCAACAACTTATTTGCAAGTGCAGTGGGAGCGAAGACACTTCTGAGACTAATCTTCTTAGCACAGCCTTTGCAAGAAAAATAAATAAATAACTCAGGGAAAACATACAATTTTATGGTTTCCATTTAAGTTTCCTAAAATTTGGGGGGTATTATTTTTTTTTTAAAAAAATGCAAAGTACATTTCAGTAGGTTGATAGCGATGCATCATTACACACCATTAAGGTGTGTTAACAACAGTGAAGAATGCAGACGCATCATGATTGCCATTAGAGATGGGGGTATTCGTATACGAATATCCCTGCACAGGTGGCAATAACGAGGGTCCAGCCCCACGGGGCCAGACGGTCCCCTCACCGATCCGCTGCTGCTGGGGAAGCTGCGATTCCTCCAATGGTCCTGCGGATCACGCTCTACGAGCCACTCTTCAACCTTGCAGTGCGGCTTGTCCTCCAGCCTCCTGCCAGGAGTCGTAGCTGATCATGATCTGTGAAGCCATTGGAAGAATCATGGCATCCGCGGCAGCACCAGATCGGTGAATAGACCATCTGGCCCCATGTGGCTGGACCCTCATTATCGCCACCTGTGCAGGGATATTTGTATACGAATGCCAACATCTCTAATTGCCATACAACGGCATGGGCATCTTTGGGTAATTGGGGAGGCCCATTTGTTGGTGTGGGGCCAACTCCAAGGGCTTGATATGTCGTATTCCTCTCCAGAAGCTTGGAGTCAGATTTGGATAATGAAGCTTCCAAGAGCACTCTGTTAGGGAAAACAAACCTTGGATCCCAAGATAGCAAGTTACGAGTCTCTTATCTGATAGCTTCAAATCCTCCCCTTTATAAGCAGAACAAAGATGCGGACATACAAGAAAATACACGGAGACTTATAGCATAATATATTAGACTTGGTGAGACATATATACATGGCAATATATACATTGGCATAGATATCTCAGAGCAACATAATATTCACAGAAGTAATGACCACCAGACTCGCAACTGAGTGGCAAATTGCTGTTCTCACACACTTGCTTAAATAGTGAGAGCAGCCTATCAGTTGCAGCTGAACATGGTTGACAAGCATTACTTAAGCTTGTCCCATCTGTACGCTATCAGTCATCCATTGACTTGACGTTACAGGCATGACTTTGCATTTTCACTACAATATTAAATTTAACCCCTTGTTCACTTAAAGAAACAAATCCTGACACCATTGTAGAATATAATGAGCCACTGGTACCAATGGACGCACTCTCTATTGGTCAGCCGCCATGGTATCTATTCCCATTTGATGAAAGAGAAAGTTTGTGCTTTCAAGAAAAGAGGAAAGTGAATGTGGTTGAGCCATTTATTTTCCTAACACTCACGAGTAGATTCACCTCTAGATTTTGGTGCCCTGAGACAAGACCCTGTTGCTTTCTCCTTGCTATGACCTTGCCTCCCTGTATCTTAGCTTTTACACATGAAGAGTTAAATCTGGAAAAGTGATCCATCTCTAACCATAGGGACTCTCAGCAATTATCTGGAGGCCTGTAAAATTGAAGCACCACATATCATATCATATCATATCATATCATACCATACCATATCATATCATATCATATCATCTGGAATGGCATCCTTCAGTCTCGAGAGACTATGGTAAAGTGCTCTGTATGGAGGACTTGGAGAGGGTCCTCTCCAGAGCACGAAGTCTGAGTAAAATAATATGGATGGTAGGTGGGGCTTCTCAGCCTTGGAAGGCAGCCCATCTAGGAGAAGGAAAACTCAGATTTCAAACCTCCACTGCCTTGTGGCTATATCCACTGGTGGAAAAGGCTTCAGGAGTCAACCTTGAGGCAAAATCCGGAGTCCCAGAGGCAGTTCTTGTTGTTCTGGCAACTCCTGCAACATTGCTGGAACCAGTTGTATTGGCTCTTGCCTTTCCATTGGACTATTTCAGCTACATGGAGAGGGGGAATTTGCTGCTTGGGTCACAGCCTATCATATCATATCATATACAGTAGTACCTCGGTTTACGAATGCCTCAGTTTCCCCAAGATGCATTGTGCCTGGAGGTTTGTAGCTCCACTCCCATTCCTATGGCAATCTGCATTTCGGTTCATGAATTTTTTGCATTATGTAACGTCCTGGAGTAGACGTTGTCTAAAAGGGCAGGATAGAAATCTAATAAATAAATAAATTAAATTCGTAAACCGAGGTACTACTGTAACATAACATAACGTAACGTAACATAACATAACATAACATAACATAATAATATAATATAATATAATATAATATAATATAATATAATATAATATAATATAATATAATATAATATAATATAATATAATATAATTTGGTGCCTGGATGCCTCTTCTGGAGATGTTCCATGAGTAGCAAACACTGTCCAGATCTAGCTCTCTACACACAGGAGCTAGGATGGAACGGGCAGGTCTGGTTTGCTCCTTCTGTTAATGGGTGAACTATTTATTGGATATGTAATGGCCATGAAAAACAGCAATGAAAAGAACTAGAATTGCTCTCTGTTAAAGAATTCTTCTCATATTTATTTCCACCCTTCTCAAGCCACCCTGAAGTGTGTAGGTTACTTAGAGTTGCCTGCAAGGCCTTAAGAAGGAATGGAAGATGGCTCTTCCATCACCAAAGATGCCTGGTTGAAGACCCGCTCTCTTGCATGCAGGGATCTAAAGCTGCAAGCTTCAGGAAGGGAGAGCAAGTGACGGTCGTAAAAGGCCCATCATTTGCTACTTATTTTCTGTCATTGTCCTTTTAGAGATGTTGCATTGTTGTACGTGCTTTCATTATCCAGCTAAATGAAAAGCTCAAATTGAATAGCGGGAGCTTGGAACCCATTGTGTGCTGGCATCTGCACTACTAATTTGCCAATAATTAAATTTCACGAATGCAGAGCAGTCTCTGGATTTGCCAAATGCTGGAGTGATTCTCTCTTCCTCCTCATTCTCTCCTTCCCCACACTTTCCACCCCCTTTACAAGACACGGATATGTTAATTGACACGTCTGCCGCGGGGATCCTTTATTTTTAGCAAGGAGGTTATCATTATTATTTTCTTTTTCTCCCCCTCCCAATTTGTAAAACACTGTTGCACCTATTAGGAAAATCATTCTGTTTCAGATTAAATACAAGGCAGAGGTTGTCGTAAAAGAAATGGAAAAGCAGATGTTCTCTGATTAAGAGTGCACTGTTTATGACAGGCTTGTGGTCTAATGCTCATTTCTTCTGTCACTTAACAGCTGCTCTATGTAGGTTCTCTTCCAGAACTGTGTATTCTTTAATCTACAAGGCACGTTTAAAAATCTGCAGGCTTCCCTAATGCCAAAAGAATAACCCTTGTTTCCTCCACCCCACATCATCTACATGTATGTATGTATGTACGTATGTATGTATGTACGTATGTATGTATGTACGTATGTATGTATGTACGTATGTATGTATGTACGTATGTATGTATGTACGTATGTATGTATGTACGTATGTATGTATGTACGTATGTATGTATGTACGTATGTATGTATGTACGTATGTATGTATGTATGCATGCATGTATGTTTATCTACTAATTATCTTTCCTAAAATAGGAGAACTTGAGGGAGGTCACCAACAGGGGAAAAGCAACAATATTTTTGTTTGAACCTAAGAAAGATTAAAAGAGGAATGGTTGTGCAGTGATATTATCGGGCTGGCAAAGCAAACAAACATGAGGGCAGCCCAAACAAAAAAATTATAACTTTGAAGCTAGACTTCAGATCAGCACCAAATGGGGCACAGATGTAGCATACAGTGCGGCAATGTTCAGGGAGATTGGGCAAAGGGTTTTCATTTTGATTTATGATTTCCTAAAAGAAAAACTGCCCCCTTTGTGCAGAAACAAGTGACCTTAATCATCCTCAGATTCAAGACAAATCAAATAAATTGAAATGACCAATCTTGCTTATCTTGAAAGAGAATGGTTGGCCCTCCTTACTTTTCTAATTTGGAAGAAACCTAGGCTGCAGGGGC